ATTATATATGCCATCAATGTCTAAGTTTCGTCACTAAAAAATCATTTTCAATACTTTCAAACACTAGTCTTTCATATACGTGCAATCTTTCGCACATTCAGTACTATTTCATATGGAAATTATAATATCTACTAATATAATACATCATATACAATAGTACGGATTACTCTAATAATTTCATCATTTTTAATTATCTCATTAATAATTAGATCATTGAATCATTTTTGAAGTTTTTGAGTGCTTTTCAAATTAATCACAGATTCAAGACATATACTGTGTTTTAAAATGTTCCCTAAAATGTGTAATAAAATTGAATCAATCGCCCGATTGGTCGCCAAATGTGTGGCACCGACTTTGGGGGCGAGTGTTTGGGGGCTAAAAGTGGTGTGAATTGTGTCGTAATTGTTGCGAGAAATGCGCCAAAACTACGGACAAGGGCTGAGTGTTTGAGCGCTTTATTGTGGCTTTCATTCACTCATTGAGTCTCTCATTGAGTGCTAAACACGCGTTGCGTTCAGTCTAGCAGTGAGTCTATCGGCCGTCAGATAAGCCGTTGCTTTCGTTTCACACATTATTCACGCAATTAATGTAAGTATGGATCACATGATCACCGAAACCTGTCATCCGCGGTGTGACAACACGTATGATAATACACGCCATGTCTCTAACTCAACTGACGTTGCAGTGATCAGCGCCGGCATCATAAACATGTCAACGGGAACGCCAGACGGGGCAGCGAAGGGCGAGGGGGGCGACGCCTCCGAGTATATAAAGCTGAAGGTCGTGGGCCAGGACTCCAATGAGATCCACTTCCGCGTCAAGATGACCACTCAGTTCGGCAAACTCAAGAAGTCCTACAGTGAACGGGTGGGCGTACAGGTGGGGTCTCTCCGGTTTCTGTTTGACGGCCGTCGCATCAACGACACGGACACACCGAAGCTCCTGGAGATGGAGAACGACGACGTGATCGAGGTTTACCAGGAACAGAGTGGCGGTCATGGTGGTCAGCACGTGGTGGCCCGAGCGTGAAGTCGGTGTCGTGTCTGTCACGCCATACCAATGGTTTAGTTGGCGTTCAATTATAGACACAAATTTGCGTTGGATTTGAATGAATGATAACTTTTTTTCATTATTATTTTCATTGATTTGTATTAATATTAAATTATTTGTCAATTGTTTTTCTCGAAGGCATTGAAATTTAGTTTGTAATTCAGATAATTATCGTTTGCTTTCCTGTTGTAAATCAAACTCAAAA